ATTGTCACGAGAAAGACAAAAACATCATGTCTTGCTTCAACAAGCTTCCATGCTCAGCAGGTGAATACGTGACCCTCTGACCCTGCCTTTGCCTATTTTTGCCTCGTGTTTTCCCAAACCACAGGCTTTCTCAGCTTACTGTGACCTTTAGGAATGTCACAGCCTAAAAAACGCATCTACAGTGTCTGAATGCTGGTGACAACAAAGAGGTTAAAGAAATACGAGCATGACAAGGACAGTGTCTGGTTTGACCTTAAAGGCTAGCTTTAGAAAAATGAAACAGGGTAAGGAAGTCAAATGAGATGTTGATTCTTCCACAGCACCCTACAATTAACGTGGCTAATTCACCATCCATGGTTAGTCCACAAGATGTGTCCCATTACAAACTTTCTCATGACCCCCTTGTTGCTCTGTTTTTATGGAGCCCCCAAACATGCAAAATGTAATAAAAAGTTAAAATATGAATGAATACATCAATAAATTATAATGTTACTTCAATAATTAAACTAGGGTGTAAAAATAAATCTAAAGCTTTGTCCTTATTCTCCAGTCAGTTGGTAGAAATGGCACATTATGCATAGCTTTGTGGTGGTGATGTTGGTCACTTGATCCTCCACTTTGGTCCAGAGTGAAGTATTTCAACAATATTCATGTTCTCCAGTAGATCAATCCTTTATCATTGTGGGGATTCACTAACTTTTCCTCTAGCGCCACCAGCAGGACAAACTTTTCACTTGTGCTGGGATATATTTCAACATGTACCAAGTGGATTGGCAAAACTTCTTGTAGAGAAGAGTTATGTTCAAATTGGTTTTCAGTGGCATGACATTTGGATTATGACCAAATATTCGCAGAACTAAAGACATTCCCCATGACCTCAGCTGTACTTTATGTTTAGAGCTGAGCAGCTAATGTTAGCAAGCTGATATTCTGACATTAATACTCGTTAAACTGACATTAGCCATTAGCTCAAAGCACTGCTGTGCCTAAGTAGTTTGCAGAACCACTAACATGGCTTTATGCTCTTAGTACTGTTTTCCTTCACCTTTCTTCAACGGTTTAATTTTTCTATTCAGGAAAAGTCTGCAAACACACCCTCAATCTAACAGTCTCCAGTCTTAACGGTTAATGAGAGAGCCTGTCAACCTGACTTACACACACTTCTCCAAAACTGTAACTGTCCACAGGGTACATCACTAAACAACATCAATTGTGAATAGAGTGCCAGGGACGCTTTTTCTCCCCCCCAAGTTTCAGATGGATTTTTACTGATGGTGAAAACAACAGTCACCATCATAACACTGCAAATATCATTAGGATATCATATCATAGAGTTACTGTTACTTACTTAACATACTGTTGTATCTCACTGTAGTCAATCATCTCATGTTCATTATATTATATAGAGAATATTTATAATCTGTATATAGTTTTAGTTGTTGTAATATCTTTTATCTCATCTTAATTAACTGATATGTTATTTAGCTATTTGATTGATTTTATTATTTTCTGGCAACATACAGAATCTCTGTGTTCTGCCAATAATGTACTCATTGAACTGAACTGGTGCCAGACAGCACGACAGCAGAGACAGGTGATGCAGCAGAAGCCGTAAGCATGCTTTCAATCACAATTACAGATGAGCTGTTGCAGCCATTGGTCCTGCTGCAGTATATCCCATTTGGGTGTGATCAACTGGTCGACATGGACTACCTTAGAGACTGGGGATGGGGGGCATTAAAAGTGAGGAGGTGACAGAAAGGGGGAGAGGCAGTCACACAGGACCAGAGGATAATAAAATCTATCTAACCTATTGGCAATCTTTCCATCCGTGGATCTACTGCATGACAGGGTAAGTGGGGTTTTAACCTGTCATGTCTAATAAAAATCAGCCTAGCCCCCCCAGGCTTCGCTGACACACCTGGTCTGATCTGCAACTGGGTCAGCAGCTGTCTGCCTGTCTGTCTTTCTGCTTGTTTGTCTGTTATAAAAAACAAGGCAATATAAAGTCACCACCTACTGCCTCTGTTACAAAGCTCAGGACTTAGCAGGCTCAAGGACATGGTGCCTTGTTACAGGAAAAGCCCAGTCAGAAGTCAAATCAGGTAACATTTAGGGCAATTGTTCTCGACCGTGTGGCAACCTGAGTGAATAGTCTACATGTTCTCATCGCAGTCAAACTCACTTTCATTTCACTGATTACTTCCTCTTCTCTGTTTGAAGGTGTGTTAGTCAGTCCAATTGCTGTACAGTTTGATTGCAAAAAAAAAACCTGCAGACTCTTCTGCGACTCGCTATTGAGAGATACTGCACAAAGAGTTTATTTCCATTCTAACAAATATATATAGCAGCTATAAAGTGACAAGTTTTCTTGTTTTCCGTGCCCAGACTATGAAAATCATATGACACTGGATGCTAATTTCTATGTTAGTGGCATTAATAGTCCACGTTTCAGAAAAGTAAATCTAAAACCTTGAAAAGAAACACTTTCACTACATAAAATATAGAATAAAAGAAAATTTATGTTTCAGTGTGTGACAGGGCTGAGAAAGGCAAAAAAAAAGTATTGATATCTCAAAACCAAATGCTGTTGGCTGCTGGCAGCAGTCTATACAGTATGTGATTATCCAATCTACAAATACAGCTTGTGTTGTTAAAGAAAACATCCTCTTCCCAAGCTGTCTTTCAGAGACAAACAATCAATGAAGACACAAAGCTATTGATTTTCTTAGTTGCTTGAATCACTTTTGTACTAAAAGCTCTAGCACTATTTGGACATCATGTATTGATTTTGCAATGAATCTTATAGCTTCCAGTTCTTGGCCAAATTACTATCTGATGAACCACTAGTTGAAAAGTTTAGTTCTGTTGTCCACCCTTAATTGGAATATGAACAGTGGTGTAGTGCAGCGTATACACAGGTATACGGTAACTACTTATTTTTCAGTCTACATTGGGTATATCTACTTCTGAATCCTATCTGATGCAGATCATTCAGTAGTGTTCTGCCTGATAAATGTCTGTGGGCCAGTATTGATTGCAAAATCTGCACCTCTTCTGTGGCTGATGTTTATTTCATAATGATCCTCACTCCCTGATGTCAAGTAGCAAAAGTTATGTGCGAATACTACTGGCCCATATTTGGGTTTGCTAAATTTACAAGTATTGAGATGGAAGGGCCACTTTAAAAAAAAAGGTGGCATAAATTAAAGAGAGTAGGCCCACTTCTCCAGGCACCATTACACCACTGGATACGAAGAACCAAAGAACACACGCTGAAAAGGCCTTGTGTTGAGTGAAATCATTCAAGCGTTGGCTTATTCGCCAATTTATTATTTCAAATCTGTTCTTCTCTTTGTTTGTTTTTAACAACACATATTGGACAGAACTGATTTGTCTCCTTCTGTTCATTTAATCCTTCAACACATCCTTCACATTTTTGATAAAACTACAAATAGCAACGTTCATCCACTCCTCCTCATCAGGTAGTTTCAAATTGTGACCATTTGTCTTGGTTTGATATAAATTGTCAGAGTCTGTTGAGAATGTTTCCCTAAACATATTACAAAGTTTGATCGACGCAACTGCATTTACACCTGTTTGGAACTGCTTTGAAAACTCACATATCAGAGTGCCAGACACCTTTTATAGCTGTCAAATGCTTCTATTTGACATGCAACCTAATATAACCCTCCTTTGCGCCACTTCCTTCCAAGTCTTTTTCCATGAAGACTTTGTCTACACCCTGTATTTGATAATTATGGCTATGAACCAGGAACTTCGTAGGATTGCTAGATCCCAGATATGATTACCGCAATTAGTATTGAACAATAGTAATTATGTTTTATGGTTCTTCCCCTGTCTCTAGGTAACCTGTACAGAGCCTACGTTAGGTAAGTAGCAAATAAGCCTAAGGAGTTTTGCGCATATGAGATATGAGGTGTGCAGGATAATGAATAATGTCTCCATGGGAAACAGGTGGAGGAGGTGGGAGGGTGAGAGGCAGATAGAGGGATGGACAGAGAGGTGTTCTGAAAACTTCTGACACAAGCTGATTTCCTGATACCACATGGAAAATTACCATCATTGTTAGTTACACATTGGTTTCTGCTTCAGTTAGAAGCATTAATCACAGTTTAAAGCTCCAATAATCAACATATATATATTCTGATATTTACATTGAATCAACTGACTACGTGTGACATGAAAGGTCACTTTAAGTATCACCCAATTCTGCAGCTCTGCTCAGTAATTTAGCCTCTTTAAGCTAGTTGTTTTGGTTTTACTGCACATTTACTGTTTTCATTCAGTCTCCCTGCTCTCATCAATCTCATTTCCAGCAGCAGCTGTTTTCAACAAACAAGCTCTGATAAACCTACTGTATGCTGCCTGGCATGTCTCCTTCACCAATTATGCTCTCATGCCTTAAGAGTAGTGATGGATTCTGGATAACATTTTCCTGCATAGGCAGTTTCAGTTGACTGGCAGCTTGGATGGGCATGAAACTCCCAGTTAAGTGTACAAAAGATGCCTTAAAAAATAGTTCTTTGACATCAACTCAAGTAACAACTACGTGTAGAAGTCAGCTTGACTTCCAAAGAGCATTTTGGTAAAAAACCACAAAGAATCACAAGGCTTATTATTTTGAAGTGACAGCAGAGAGCAGCCATTATACTTTGTAGAACTAATAATATATTCAGCAGTTTTAAATCAGTTTTGATTGTCAAAGTCAGATAGATTAGGCAACAGTGGGTGGAGTTTTGTGTTCTGAATTTGATACACGTTTAATTCCCATCTTTTCATCATAGAAATGGACACCAATGGCTGATATTTAGAGACATTTGCCATGTGGAAAAACAAGAGATTTCAAGAATACAAGAATAATGTTAATATTGTAACCGATGGTCATAACGTAAACCTATGGTATCACCAAATTATCCAACAGTGCTACATTGATTAAGATATTTGTTGTCTCAACAGTAAAAAGTAACTGTACTCACTCCCATTGTTTCCTCCTGGCCTGTGGTGTGTTGTGCAGCTTGTGTGCCTGGTGGGCCAAGATGACATCCCGGTGGTCCACCAGTCCTCCCCTCCGGCGGATTAGCGGGACTGTGGGGTCATTGCTGCTGGTAACCAGGGACAAGGGGCCTCGGCCAGAGCGCACCCCGTAGCCACCACCTCCACCAATGAAGGGCACTTCTCTGTACTGCTCCACCCGGACGTCATAAACAGCATGATAGTAGGTAGGGTTGGGGCCCACGCTGCTCCCACTGATTGGGGGAGGGTGGCAGCGTAGCGGCCGTTGGAGGCCCTGAGAGGAGGAGGAGCAGGACGAAGTCTGGGGCCACACCACCGAGCCGCCATGGTCCTGATAGAGGGGGGACAGCATGGAGCTGGGAGAGGAGGAGATGGAAGAGATGAGAAAGGAGAGGCGTATGGGAAGCAGAAAAGTAAGAATGGAGAAGAAGAAAGAGAAGGGAAAGAGAAGACAGAGAAGTTGACTAATTAAAAGAATATTCAGTATTCAAACTCCAGAGAGTGCTGATAAGCAAATATCTGTATGCTTTCTCCAGTGTTGGGATTTGCAGCTATTCTTTTAACTGTTCCTCAAACAAAAATAAGCATTTGATATCTTGGACCTGTGAAGGTATTTTTTTTTTTTTTTTTGGTTGGTGTGAAAGCAGGCAGAATACTATTCAGAATGTTTACTGTCACTTACAATGTCCACAACCAAGTGCAACACCACTAATTCCCTCAAAGAGAGACTGTCCGAAAGTGTGTGCTGCACCCCGGCTTTGAGTGTGGCCATTCAGAACAGGTAGAAACACTTTAGGCACGGTTGGACATGTCATATGACCTATGACGGAGGTGCAGCCTTAAATAAGCTATTCTTTTATCCAATTATACACACAATCTTACTCAGCTGCAGTCCTCCAGTTATACTTGAAACTCATAATATTGGTGGTTGACTTTATTATTGGATTATTGGTGGACTTTGTGGAGGAGTGAAACAAACATCAGTGAACCTTGAAAATCAGTTTGATGAATAATCTGCCACAGCCCTATTGTAGGTTGCACCGAATATATGTGTGACCACAGTAACATCAGAGGGAGACTGCAACCAGAATCCTGAATGTACAGAGAGGGACAGCCGGGAGGGAATCCATTCAGAGGGTACAATTGTGAATGGAACATGAAGAAAGGATGGATGTAAGGCAAGGCTCTGGAGAAAAGGGGAACAGAAGAGGAGAAATAGGGTAAGGGATTTCAAAAGTCAAAATGGCAGAATAGAACAAGAGTAAGAATGTTGTGAATAATTGAGCTTTGATGTAAAAGGAAGTGTAGGTGAAAGACAGAGGGAATAATAAAGGAAATACAGTTTCTTTAATCCAATGTTCACTCCTCGTAGAAAGAATAATAATAATACCATCCATAACAAAATGCACTATGTGATAATACTTTTTCAGCAGGAGGACAAGCTGCTTCTACAGATACTCACCGCACAAACACCAAAACCTTTCAAAGTTGGCATTAGCACATAACAGATATTGTCCCATAAGCCACTAAAACAGTATCTTCAGAAGCAGCTTGTCCAGAATTTTTTTTATACTATTTACTGAAAATGTACCTTAAAGGACCAGTGTCCTTTACCGCTCGCCTCAACCAAGCGTGTACGAGAAACTGGCCACAAAACTCACGAAAGGCCCTATCAAGAGTTGTGTGTGTTTGGTTTGTGTTACACACTGGATCTTTAGGAGCCTAAAAGGCACTGGGTAGAGCTAAGAATTACATTCATATTAGACAAATCTGTAGCACATGATTTACATCCAATGTCAGTGGTCAGTACTGTTGCAGTAGTGGAATAGCCTTTATTGTGCAAGGTGGCAGGTAAGAGATGGGAGGAAGGGTTGGTGGATGGGTGTGCAGTTCATTCAACATGCATGTGAGGGACTGGGGTTTGTGTAGCATCATAATATAAAGGTTAACACTGTTTTACCTTTAACCACAACACTGTCATCCTAAATCTGGGCTTTTGCAGAATTATCCATGTCTTTTTTTCTAGCCATAGATACTGTCAGCAGTACAGTAATTAAATATCCCCATTGGCAACAGGGATATAGGCTGGTCTTGTGAACTTCTAGTCCACATCATGCAAGTGAACTTGAAGGTCAGGACATGCAATAAATGTCCAGAATGACTCCCTCAACTTTCTCTCTAGAAATGTACGTTATCTTCATTTTCCATTATACATTAATCCTTCCATCTCACTTTAGTGCCTCTATTTCCCATTTCATTGTAGTTTGTATTGATGAACTTGTATGTTCAGTTTTCAACCAATATTCAGGTGTTCTTACTATGTATTCTGCTTTCTCTCAATGTTAGAAATAAGTACAAGCCAAAGGTTACAGTCTGAAAAAAAGCTAACTGTTTTTTGCCCTTGGTGAAGAAGAAACAGAAAGAGTGAGAAAAAGGCAAAGAATATGAATCCACATAGAGAGGGGGCACATTAATAAACTAGACATTCAATAAAAGTACAGAGGACAAACAACAATGGGAGGTAGGGGGAGAAACAGAGGAGAGAAAAGAGGGGAGGACGGGAAGATAAAGGGGGAAACACTCTTAATTAAATGCCTGCAAAGACTAATGACACTAACCTGGCATTTAAATTTTTACTACGCAATTACAAAAAAATGCTTCTGGTTTGTGTGTGCGTGTTCATGTTGTGTCTGTGCATGTGTGAGTGTGTGTGCGCACAAACGTACTGGAAACAGCATTTTTCCTCACCAGTTATCTGCTGAGAGTGCATTACACATTATTTCTCCCTGACATGGTGTAAAGCGAAAACTAATTCACAGAGACAGGCGCACACACACAGATTTACGCTCACACACTGCAGGTACAATGATGAGACATACTGCTATGGTAAGGACTTTGTTGGGTGATTGAGGGTGTGTGTGTGTGCCGCAGGGCTTGAATAACACAGGTCTAGTTGTATTAGTGATAGCAGCAGAGAACACACAAACTCACACCATGCACATAACACAGAGCAAGGGCAAACTACAGAACTCACACGGACACAGAGGACTCAGAGAGAGGTGGGGAGATTATGAGGGGAGACACAGAGGTTGATGGACAGATACAGAGGAAAGAAGAGGATGAATGCGTGAGCAGATGAGGGAGGAAGAGGAAGACAGTGATAGAAGAGAGAGAAAAGTGACTCGTTGGGGAAGTGGGGGAAAAACAAAAACCATGCAACCAGCATTTACCCTAAAGGCACAACGGTACGATGGAGAGAGCACTTTAATAAAAGGTACAGAGGCAGCAAAAGCCAGCAGGATGAGAGTAAGAGTGGAAGAAATTAAGGGACATGACAGACGAGTGGAAGAATGACTAATTGCTGAGAGAGAAAGACAGAGCAGAGCCATGCAGATAAGGCAAAATCCTTTCTCGCTTTCAGTCATCATGTCTCTCTTTCTCCCCCGGCTTCTGCACATCTGGATTAGCAGAGAAGTTCTACAACAGTACATACAGAGTACCAGTGAAGCCCTTCCTCACAACCACACACCACATCTACAACTGGAGACCAAGTAGCTACCACCATGACTAAATGGTTGAAGTAATAATCTCATAATAAAATGTTGTTGAGTCACGAGGAAGAACGCGTTACAAAGTGATGTGTTACAGTAACTCAGATACTTTTGCCAGGTGTTTGTGTCATTGTGTGACTTTGGCATTGTAAGACCTTAGTTTGGATCCAGACTAACTTCAGTTGGGGATTGAGGCAGCAACTCCAGTGCTCTGCAAGGTCAAAAGAGTCTGATGGCTTTGAAGAGAGCAATATAACAGCTTCAGTTCTTTGGCAGACAAGACTGTCTGACGGCAAGGTAAAGCGGTGAAAATATTCTAAAAATAGCATACACTTAAAAAGTGCATCACTTAGCTTCTGTACTGATACTCCTGTCTGCTTCTCCAAACTGGGGACATGGTGGCCGCCACCTACTGTGGGTAATACACTGACAGTGGATAGGTACATCTCGCAGCCCCACTTCAAAAAATCAGAATTCACCCTTTGAGTCAAATATGTACCATAATGCGAAATATCCTGACAGTCATCACCAGAAAAATTGCTGTATAAGTCTATTGTGCTATCAGCTTATTACAACTCATATTTATTACAGTGAAAACGCGCAATGTCAACAGACATCACATCAGAACTTGTACATACTGTATGCTTTGGCCACTTTTTTCAGACATTTTTTTTTCATGTCACTTCTTTGTGTTCCGCAGTAATGAAACTGCTCAGTTGGGAATTAGGCAAGATACTGTTATGACGGAATCAATTCATTAATCATCCTGCTGACTCCTAAAACATCACTGACATCAGAAACTTTAGTTTCCAATCTGACACTAACAGTAGTGGGAATGAACAGCCAGACTCAGCTCATTAAATTGAATATGACTCACCCTGAATTTGTCATTTTAATTTAATTCAAACTAAACTCGGATAGGACGCTTCCAGTATTTTCTCCTCTCCCACTAAACTTGCTTAACTTAAAGATAGTAAGACTACTGTAATTACGTTTCTTGCAATGTATGCAGATACACAGCTGTTTGAGAAAAGGTTGAAGAGTGGAAATCGGTTTGGTGCATTTAAGAGGGAGCAATGCCTCAAAGTCACAGAAGAAGGATTTTGATTGGAAGGTCACTGAACTGAATCCCTGGGTAGTACCAGGAAAAGTGAATGAGTAGAACTTTTTCCTACCACTGAAGCAGTCCTGAGCAGCAACTTGGACCATAATTTCTCTAAATTTACTGTGAAAAACACCTTTTCATCAATACAGTAAGGAGTGGAAATTCAGCAGGGGCAGAGCTGACTGCAAAGTTATTTTGCAGGAGAAAGAGAGGATGTTTTACGTGACAGCTGCATTTAAGTGCCCGGCAACATAATAGTCCAAAATGTGTTTGTTAATCCTAAAAGCAGATACCAGCCCATTGTAAAGCTGATTCTAATACTGATCATTTATAAATATATAACAAGCTGATTGATTTACTTTTTCTTTTAGATTTACAGAAATGAAACACAAACTAGTCGTTGCCTCCCATAGCATAGCCTTTTCTCCTTTTTGTCAGATAATACAACAGTTTCTGGTGAAAAGTAGTCCAAATTCAAGTTAATTACAGTGTAAGAGCCTCCAAAGCTGATTTAACAGCTAACCACACAGAGCCAACAATGAGGACTGAATGGTGCCAATGGTGTGGGACAGTGGGGTCATTGAGGCTCAACAATTGCCCAAAATTACCCAAGGTTAGTATGGTGGAAAATAAACGTATGTAATCACGTTTTTCTTTCTAAAAGAGACGAGTTTGTCATCATATGATTATTAGCAGTCAC